TAACTCATAAAATCATGAATTTTAGTCTCTGTGATATTATTTGTCAATAAGTTAAAAAATTAAAAATTAAAAATTAAAAAAAATACGGGTTATAACTCATGAAATTGTGAATTTTGGCCTCCGCAAAATTATTTTCTAATGAGTCAAAATAACTAAACTTGTCTAATAATCATGGGTTATAGCTCATGAGATTAGGAATTTTGTCCTCAAGTAAATTACTTGCCAACTAGTCAAAATTACTAAAGATAGCCAAAATTTGTGGGTTATAGCTCATATAATCATTAATTTGGGTCTCTGTAAAATTATTTACTAACAGGTTGAAACAACTAAAAATAGCCAAAAATAAGAGTTACAGATTATAAAGTCATGGATTTTGACCTATGAGAAATTATTTACCAACGTGTCGAACCACTAAATATGGCCAAATATCATACGTATTAGCTCACGAAATCATGAAATTTATGAAATTATTTCTCAATGGACTGAAATAACTAAAAATAGCAAAAAATCATCAGTTATCACTCATCAAATCATTAAATTGGCCTCATCAAAATATTTGTTAATAGGTCAAAATAACTAAAAAAGAGCCTAAAATTATGAGTTATAGATTATGAAATCATGAATTTTGGCATTCGCGCAATTATTTGCCTACGCCAAACAACTAAAAATGGCCAAAAAATCATCAGTTAGAGCTCATTAAATCATGAATTTTTGCCTCTGTGAATTTATTTGCCAGCAAGTCTAAACTATCAAAAATGATCGAATGTCACGGATTATAATTCATGAAATCGTGAATTTTGTCCTCCTCAAAATTATTTACCAATTGGGTTGAAACAACTAAAAACAGCTAAAAATTGTTGGTTATAGGTCATGAAATCGTAAATTTTAGCTCCCGTGAAACTATTTACTAACAAGTTGTAACAACTAAAAATGATTACATGTCGTGGGTTATATAGCCTATGAAATTGTGAAGTTTGGACTCTGTGAAATTATTTTCCAATTGTTCCAAATGACTAAAAATTGCCAAAAATAATGAGTTATAGCTCATAAAATCATGAGGTTCGAACTTCACAAAACTATTTACTAGTGGTTCGAAATGACCTAAAATCTCTAATAATCATGTGTTATATAGCTCATAAAATCGTGAATTTTGGCCTCAATGGAATTATTTTCCAATGGTTGAAACGACCAAAAATAGCTAAAACTCATAGGTTATAGCTCATAAAATCCTGAATTTTTGTCACTAGGAAATTATTTGATAGTGGGTCGAAATGACTAAAATGGCCAAAAATCATGAGTTATAGCTCATGAAATCAAGAATTTATTCTCCGTAATATTATTTTTCAATGGGTTGAGATGACTAAAAATAAAAAATCATGTGTTATTGCTCATGAAATCATGAATATTTGACCTCCGCTATATTGTTTACGAATATTCAAAACAACTACAAATTTTGACTTCCATGAAATTTTTTACCAATGGGTTGAAACAACTAGAAATATCCCAAAATCGCCTATTATAGCTCATGAAATCATGAACTTTAGCCATCATGAAACTATTTACCAATGGGTTGAAATAACTATAAATGGCTAAAAGTTGTAGGTTATAGCTCATCAAATCATTTAATTAGACTCCGTGAAATTATTTTCTAATGGGTTGAAATAACTTAAAATAGCCTAAATAACTCATGAAATCATGAATTTTAACTCCGCATAATTATTTGTCAATTGGTTGAAATAACTAAAAAGGCTAAAAATCTTCAATAATAGTTCATAAAATTGTGAGTTTTGGCCTCCTTAAAATTATTTACAAACGGCAAAACAACTAAAATGGCCAAAAATCATGGGTTGTATAGTTCATAAAATTATGAATTTTATCCTTCACGAGATTATTTGCCAATAGAAGATAACTATTAAAAATGGCCAAAATCATGGATTATAGCCATGAAATTGTTAAATTTAGACTTCACATAATTATTTACCAATGGGCTAAAATGACTAAAAGTAACCAATAATCGTGAGTTATTACTTATGAAATCGTCAATTTTGGTCTCCACGAAATTATTTACCAATGGGTCGAAATGACTAAAACTAACCAAAAATGCATGTTGTAGCTTATGAAATCATGTAGTTTGGACATAACGAAACTATTTATCTGTGGGTCGAAACGACTTAAAATTACCCAAAATTGTGAGTTATAGCTCATGAAATCATGAAGTTTAGACTCTGCAAAAATATTTATCGATTGTTAAAAATGACTAAAAATATCCAATAATCATGGCTTATAGGTATTAAAATCATGAATTTCGGCCTCCGTGAATTATTATTTAAGGGTCAAAATGACTAAAAATAGCCAAAACTTGTAGGTTATAATTCACAAAATTCTAAATTTTAGCCACAGTGAAATTATTGACAATAGGCCAAAGTGACTAAAAAATGCCAAAAGTCATGGATTATCGCTTATGAATTCATGAATTTTATTCTCCGTAATATTATTTACCAATGGGTCAAAATAATTAAAAATTAAAAAATTTGTGGGTTGCTCATGAAATCGTGAACTTTGACCTCCACAACATTATTTACCAATGGGTCGAAATGACTAAAAATAACCAATAATCGTGGGTTATAGATCATGAAATCATAAATTTTGGCATCCAAGAAATGCCAATATGTCAAGACCTCTAAAAATGGCTTAAATGGGTTTCAAGTTAAGAAATTATTAATTTTAGCCTCTATAAAATTATTTGCTAACTGCTCGAAATAACTAAAAATGGCCAAAGATTTTGGGTTATAGCTCCTCAAATCGTTAATTCTAGCCTCTGCAAAAATTATTTAGCAATGAGTCAAAAATGAGTAAAAATTATAAAAAAATCATCAGTTATAGCTCATAAAATCATAAATTTTAAGCTCTACAAAATTATTTACCAACAGGTCAAAACTCTAAAAATGACCAAAATTTGTGGGTTGCCACTCATCTAATCATGAAACTGGCCTCCGTAAAATTATTTGCCAACGGTCGGAACAACAAAAAATGACAAAAATCATGAATTATAGCTTATGAAATCGTGAATTTGGCCTACATAAAATTATTTCCAACATATAGAAAGAGCTAAAAATAGCCAAAAATCATTAATTATAACTCATGAAATTGTAAATATTGGCCTCTATGATATTATTTGCCTATAGATCGAAATGACTAAAAATATAAAAAATCATGGATTATAGCTTATGAAATCGTATTTCAAAATGCATGGTTTACATGAGCTATAGCCCTCTTTGTGTCCATTTTCATTATTTTTGGCCCAATGAAAACTCATTACTTGCATTTAGAATTCCTGATTTCATAGGCTAATAACCTATGATTTTTGTCCATTTCCATTCTTTCAACCAAATAACAAGTATAGATGACCCATGACTTTCGTCCTAGTTATCTGCTTTGATCCAATGATGAATGTTACGTGCACTTAAAAGTTCAAGATTTTAATGGGTTATTGTCCATGATTTTTGTCCAATTTTTACATTTCAATCTAATAGCAATTATGTTAGTGTACTTCAGAATTTTTCATGGGATAACGCATGATTTTTTTTTTATCTTTATTCCCTTTGGTTCAAGGGAAATTAAATCTGCATAGTAAAAAATTTGTGATTTTTATGGGTTTATATGTCATTTTTTAGAATTTTCATTTCCTTTGTTCTAATGTCAATTAAGTACTCATACTTCAAAATTAACACAATTTATCCATTTTTTTCATTTCAATCCAATATTAATTAAATATGTATGTTTCAAAATTCGTCATGTCATGGGCTATGACCCATGGTTTTTATTCATTTTTGTTCACTTCAACCCAACATGAAATAAGTATGTATACACGAAAATTTATAATTTTCAAAAGCTATAAGAGATCTTTATTTATTTTCATTCGTTTCAACCCAATGATAATAATGTGTGACATATTTAAAATTTCATGCTTTTTATGGAATGTATAACCAATATTTTTTGTCTATTTTTTGTACTTTAAAATTCATTATTTTCATGAGCTTTAGTTCATAATTTCTACCAATTAAAAATTAAGCATTTACGCTTCAAAATTTATGACTATCCTGAACTATAATGCGTGATTTTTTTTTTCATCTTTATTGGTTTTGACTCAGTTACAGTTAAATATGCATACTTCAAAGTTTCTCAATATTTTGAAATTTTGTGAAACTTTGAGACTTCAGATTGAATAGGAACGTGACCATCAAGCCTAATATGAAGTTAAAGGCCATTAAGCCCAATATGAAGTTTATTAATTTTTACATATATTAATTAGTCCACAAAATCAATGAAATTGTTAAATTCCCCAAACACCTTACCGTTACCAAATATGGGTAAATTTCATAAAACCCCTTAAGTTAAACTTTAGAAATGTCACTTAACCGCCCTCACCCCCATTAAATTTTGTCAAATTACCCCGTCACTAACACCCAAATTGAGAAATTTTTTCTGATTAAAAAAAGAATTGTTTTCATGTACCCCCAAGAAGAAGCCCTATATAAAACTCCCCAAATGTGTGGCCCGGTTTTGAGACAACCCTCTTCTTACCATAGCCTTTTAATTGATTTAATTTAATAATTACATTGTTACTTAGACAAATGCGTTTTCGTGTGTCTACATTCGTCTAATATTAGGGGGTAAGTAGAAAATTTGAAAACACTTAAAAGGTTTTCTGGAACACCTCAAACGTAAGGGTGCTAAATGGCACCCTAATTAAATATTTAGGGGGCCATCCAAAATTAATAAAACCTAAAGGGGGTTTCGTGAAATTTACCAATCAAAAAGTTATAAAACTTACCACAGATTTGTCCTCTACATGTGCGCCATTTTCTATTATACTTCATCCTGAAAAACAACATAAACTAATACAACAAGATTTACTTGCCCAAAAAATAAATAAAAAATAAATAAATATATGTATAACTTTTTCTTTGTCCTGAAAATATGAAGTCGCTCAATATGGGAGAGAAATCACACACTCAGATGGAAAATATCTCCGATCCACCAAAAACCTCTGATATCTGCGCGCTGATCACAGGAGCCAACAAAGGGATTGGCTTCTCAATTGCTCGTCAGCTTGCTCAAAAGGGCATCACCGTGATCCTAACCGCAAGAAGTGAGAAGCTTGGGGTAAACGCAGTTGAAGTTCTTCAACAAGAGCTTGGAGTTTCAAATATCACCTTCCATCAACTTGATGTTCAAGATCCCCTCAGCGTTGCCAGATTAGCGCAGTTCGTCAAAGAATGTTTTCAGAGGCTCGATATCTTGGTAAATGTATTCTTATCTGAAACTATGATATTTTTCGTTGTGTTTTTCGCTATATGAGGGAATTCGTATGTAAATATAGTCCCATATTGGATCAATCCTTAACATGGTGATTTGGTGCTCAACGTATTTTTAACGTCCATTTAACTCCCAGAGGGATCTGATTATTTTCGAATGTCGAATCTTGGACATGGTACCTACAGGGCAATTTAGATTCCAGTCTAAGACGATTAAGAGGAACTACATTGCTCTGTGAGTCCAGGTTTTGAGCCCATAAAAGGGCTCAACCCTGACGGAAGTGTGCTGGAGTATAAAATAATAATCCTCAACCCAAACGGCAGGGTCCTTTGACAATGAGATATGTCATTTCTCATGTAAATAGATTGTTATGTTCAATCACATACGTATCGAAAACTTTTACATGAAATCCTTCAGGTGAACAATGCGGGTGCTTTAGGCGCTTCGGTTGATGAGGAACGACTGAAAGCCCTTAATATCTCCTCTGAGATGTGGGTAAGAGCCCAAAGTAAACGAATATTACATGCAGAAGTACATATTCAAGTCCATGACTTATTCCATAAAAGTTCGTGAAATATGATCGATGCAGATCTCTGGCAAGGCCGCGAGCCTAATTCCAGGAGTGCTTCAGCAGACGTACGACGATGCGGTGACGTGCGTCGATACAAATTATTATGGGTGCAAGAGAGTCACAGAAGCTCTCCTTCCTCTTCTTCAGAGCTCTAATTTGGGTGCGAGGATTGTCAATCTCACCTCTGAGAGGTCTTTGCTGAAGGTAAAGAGGAGATGAGGGTGTTCTATTGTTCAGATACGATTTTCCCTCGAGAGACCTCCATATATAGTGTTTTTCTAGTGATTGAGCCTCATGAGATTAACCTGGACATAGAAACAAATCAATACAAAAGCTCAAAAGTTATATATCATACGAACTACTACCTTTCATTCCAGGCAATCCCAGGTGAAAGCATCAGACAAGAACTCGGGGACATCGACAACCTGGACGAAGCAAAAATAGACCAGCTCCTGCAGAAATTTATGCAGGACTTCAAAGAAGAGAGGCTAAAATCCCAAGGGTGGACGACGCTTGTGCCAGCGTACAACGTATCGAAGGCGGCGCTCAATGCGTACACAAGGGTTTTGGCGAGAAGACATGCGAAGATATACATAAACTGTGTTCATCCAGGCTATGTGAAGACTGATATCAATTGGAATTCTGGGGTTGTAAGCCCTGAAGAGGGAGCCAGAGGTCCTGTGATGTTGGCCTTGATGCCTGATGGAGGTCCCTCAGGATGCTACTTTGAGCAGACTAATATGGTAGGGTTTTAATGGAGCTTGAAAGACTTAACTATTGATCAGGGATTTTATATGTTTAGTACTTAGAGAAGCTTCAGAGGTTTGTTTTCTTTTTTTTTCATTTAGGGAGGTACGTTATGTTTGGATCTTTGTTGTTTGTGGAGTTAATTTATCTGGTTAGTATTTATTCGTCTAAATACTCGGCCATATTCGACTCGATAGTTCATTTAATAGTTAGCGAATAGTTTCTAGTATTCGATTTATAAACGAATAGAATATATTCGACTCGTTTGTGTAATAAACTATTCGTTTATACAATTCAGTCCTTAAATTTTTATTTTGCTGCTTATAAATGAGGATAAATAGATTTTTATTTGTGAATATTACATATCACTAGGTTGCATATTCATCATGTATATCATATTTGGCTCTATTTTAAGAATATGATAATAAATATTTGCTAAATATCTCACAAATAAGGACGAAAAATAATTTGCAAAGATTAACCAAATACTATTAAAAATTATTCGTGAATATTTATCGAATATTCGAATACTATCCGAATCAAATTCGAATACCGATTTCCTATTCGTTTCGGATTCAAATACGAATTCGAATAGTCAAATAGGAACCAAATACGAATACGGGGATATTCAATTCGAATTCGAATCGATTCCACCCCCTACTTATGTCTATAGTTCAAATTCACAAAACTATCATTTGTTTTTATTAAAGGAAATACCACATCAACGTCATCAATACAACATGTGGAACAAAGTGCGCATTAGAGAACCAAACAAATTTATGACCATAGCATTAGAAAGTTTCGGAAAAGGAACAATTATGTTTACAACATGAATATTCTCTAACGAACTGACTAAGGATCTTAAGATAGAGAATTTTAAGCAATCGAGCTCTTACATTGCTGTAGCAATTTGAGAGGGACTAAGATATTGCGACCCCAACGGCACACGACAAAACCAAATCTCTCGTGCTATTTTGTTTAAGAGCCTAGTAGCAATCAGCTAATTTACTGAGGAGTCTGAAAATAAAATGAGAAATTTGGAAGGAAAAAAGCGGGTAAGAGCTGTAAGTTGATTGACAAGTCGAACTATAATCCCGTTAACAAAGCAGTTCTTTTCTACGCACTGCAAATAAAAACAGAAAGATAATTAATACGCCTTGAACAGAGAACAAAATAGAAATGTTAACCACAGCACAAAAGGCCTATGTGATAAGTGATACATTCTTCCAACTGAGCAAGACACTAGCAAATTGTTCATCAACTTGGGAAGGGAAAAATCATGGCTTTTTGAATGCCAGCTTATGAAACGGTTGCTAAAAATGTATGCCACATCCAAATATATTTAAAATCAGCTCGAAAAAAAAATACAAAACCAATAAAACAACATTTCATCTTAATTTGCAACATACTGAAGGAATGGTATCCTAAGGCAGCCAATTCAAGTTAGGCAACAGCCAACCAGTGGAAGTTGCAAATAGAAATCCAATGGTTTCATCTTAAGCTTACTCGCCAACCGTCAACCCAAAGCCAAACTTGTAGTCTTTCTTTCTATGGTCGACCTGCAAAGGATTTCAGATACAAAGAAAAAAAATTCCAAAGGTCAGTCCAATAACAACATTTGGGATAAAAGGAGATAATTACTCTATGCTCACCTCTGCAGAAAGGATGAAGTTCACCCCCATATTTAATCTTTCTTCCAAGAATGCAGCTATGCAACCATTCGAATCCACTTTCCCCCTTAAACGACACTGTAAGGAAGTGCCAAGTCATATTAGTAGAAATTTATACACAAAATACAATATGTGTTGTTTTAAATAAGGAGGCCATGTTATAGTGGTCTTCAAAATATGTGAATGAACACATTGGAAGCAGCATAAAAATGGACATGCAACAGTTGAAGTAAACTCGATATACAGACAAATTTATTCCACAGTTTTTCCTAATTTCTTCAGATAAAATAATAGAGGTAGCATCTATGGGGAATATTGGTAATAAGACAGATGTACACAATAAAACACTGTCATCATTCAAATGAAGATAAAAATGCATGCAGGACTCTGTCAAGTTGGGTATTATTCATGAATAGCTTGAAAAGCTCCATAATAGCATGCACAAGCTCATTTATGAAAAGCCGAAATCATGCTTGATTTCACCATTTGATTTTAATCTATAAAAAGGCAAAATTTCACACCTTAGTAGGCCTATATGTAAAGAAGATACAAAGGTTTTTGTCACCAGATTCAATCAACTCAAAACTCTAGTACTTTTGGGGGAGACTATGGTGGACACTAAGATAATAGTATTACAACTGGTGACACCTTGAATGCCACAGCATTAAAAATGGTACACAGAACAAAACTGGTAGTAAGTGCACACAATTATGAGATACAAGGACTACGTGCACATCAATTCTATGGTGCCAATGCTAACATATGAAAGTCTACTTCTAACCTCCTACATCTACTGATCAAAGCTATTCACGCCACTGCCACATTTGGCGAGGAAGCCCAACAATTGACGAAGGGAATTGCTGAAACACGGGATGAAAATTAAAATGGAAACTGCGTGTAGCAGTTCCCTGTCATATGTTTGTATGGAAGAGTTCTATTATATAATAGATCCAATCACTAATAAAAGGTTAGCCGATACGAGTAACATCTAAGGGATGAATCATTGTGAAAATTTGTATTTATGCAAGTTTTGGCCAGAGTTGACATGAGGATAAGACGATAAGTGATGTTTAAGAGAATTCCTGACACATCAATTAATGATTATCTTTCCTAAAGTTGTGCTGGACTTCATAAATCGTTGGTACTTCGTCATGTTTCCCAAACATAGTTCAACTAAGCCCAAACTTGTGAAAAACATTATTAACCTGATGTCCATGATTGCAAGCTCATGAAAGGACATATTATAACGCCAGATATTACATTACGTAAAAGGTAAGATGAAAAAATGTAAATTAAAAATGCAAGCTACAATCCCTTTATTATACACATGTGTGCATGCACGAGCACGTGCATAATGCAACAAAGAGGAGTATGACTAAGGGGAAGTTTCAAGTTGGCAACAAAGTAACCTGTCTTAGAATATAATCATAGCCAAAGCTTGAAGTGACATCTCTTGTCATGTGATTGTACATAAAATCAGAAGCAAGGGAAACCTGCATCACAGACATCATATCAGTACAGAAATTTAGAAAGTTGATAGCATATCAGAACTTGGTGTCAAGCGCAGAAATTTTTCACCTTTTCAGATATTTTCTGTACATAGCTTAGTGCAACTATGCCAGTACTTGCAACTTGACCAGTTGCAACCTGAATTAAAAAAAAATAATAGTAATCAACCTACCAGTCATAAACAGCATCTCATGTATAACATTCTGAAATAGAAATTCTCAATTATGCTTTTTTTACGACATGCCTGTTTCTATTTAGGTCTACAATATAGGAGAAAAACTACTTCAATTATAAGAGTGTTTTCAATCAACCTAAACAACTATAAACCTATATGGTACTATAGCAGTAAGTTCACACCTAAATGCATAGCGAGTCTCAGTTCAAACAGTTAACAACATTCATCATTATATATGCTCCAGATACCCACAAACAACCATTATGAAGTTGTTGAGTAGCTGTCACCAGCGTCAAAAAAAAAAAAGGTCAACACGGTGCCTTAGAAAGTTCTGCATCCACAAGGATCCATTTGTTTAGTTGATTCACCATTAACAAGGCGGAGATAACATCATAATCACTTGATGAGCCGATGAATCTTAACAGTGTCACACAAGTATGACAACTTTATAATATAATCATGGTTTTAAATGTCGGCCGACATGTCGGATCAAAGGCTAGAGCGACACGAATATGGTCATTTCAAGTCGGATATCGTTTTTGAGGTCCATGTCGGGGGATATTGCGGACATATCGGCTGATTTGCAGCCTTGAAAAATCAAAAATCAGCCTTTTTTTAGTTGATAAGTATTGGGGTTTGGGTTTAGTACTCAAAAATGTAACCTGATTAATTCTTTTTTTAGCGTTTTGTTCATATAGTAACCCGATAGCATATAACACAGATTAGAGCAAAGAAAAAAATATTGCTCTCTTTTCCGCTGTGATCTCCTCTCGTTCGTCTTCGTCTCTACAAATTGAAATTGAGAATACATAAAAGCGTGATATAAACAATAAATTTGAACCGTAGCTTGAAATCAATCCAAAGCCTAACACTTTATGTCAATTTTTGCAAGGCACTTTACTTTATGTTAATTTTATGTAAAGCACTTAGAAAGTTCAAGTTTGACAATGTGTATTTTATTTATTTGTTGGCATAATATTCTAATGTTTCCCTTCAAGAAATGGAAAAAGACTCGTGTCTTGATGATGAATTCTCAACTCAAGTAGGATAAGTTATAACAAGACAAGGGCATTCCATCTTGGTGACCAAACTTGAGTAGAAATCTATCAGATATGACAATCCAATATTTAGTATATGTCCCCCGACATGTCCCAGATTTCCGCTATCTGACATGAATTTTGGTTGTTTGACATGAATCCGATATCTAACATTTAATACCTTGAATATAATGAATATGAAATATTTTTCTTGTTCTAGACATGCTTATGTATATGTAAAAACTTAAATACATGCAACATATACATTTCAAACACATCTACATGTAATATACCTGTAAAGAGGAAATGTTGAACCTAATAGGAAGGAGAGATCTTAAGCGGATTGGTTCAAAAACATTGTAACACCACAAGTACCAGTTATACTTATAGCCTATTAGCAACATCTATGTTGCAAGGACAAGGGTGCAGGTGCGGACACGGGCGCGGGCACAAAACACAGCAAAGTTGTAAAAGATAAGATACAGGTGCAGCTATAAATGCACATTATTAATAATGTATATGAGATCAATATTGTTTTTTCATTCACATGATATGAGAAATAAAATACCTATAACGTTTTTATGTTTCTTTTATTAAATAGATTGTAAATAGGAAACTAGCACTTTTTATTAACTAGATACCAAGTCAACCCTCTAACATTATACTTATGAAGTAGGTATGGGTTGAAATGAACCCAACCCAAGTCCAGCAAGTTGCAAAAATCTATGGTCAAGTGTAAGATATATGTTCAAGACACGAGCGATATATCTTCAAGAAGTGTATCAGGAGTGTTTTAAATTAAAACAACATTTTATAATCAAGTACATGACTAAATAAATGTGTGTATATTCAATAAGTGTCCTAGGAGTATCGGATACAAATACGGAAGCCTAGGCGAGGTGTACGGGTAACTTAGGCCACCACCATCAAATGTATGGACCCCTACCAACATCCAAATTTCAAGGTACGAGATAAATTACACATCATCCATAACACCGTTTTGAGGGCCTCAATATGTGCCATTATGACATGGAATTCGTGAAGGAGGTATCTTCCTAAAACATTTACCAGCTCTACATATTGCCTACCACCACGCAGCATGCAAATCCTTCAAAACAATGTCAACAGTAATTACAAGGCAGCAAAAAAATGAGACTAAGAGTACATAATTTATCAGTAAAAAGGTGAGAATTAAGAGATAAAAAAATCAGTATGATAAATGAATGCATAAGCAGATCTCACTTTTAGATGCTCTAAATCTATAACTATTATTTTTACAAGTAAAACTAGCATTTTCTAGGTAAGATTTTCAGAACAATGATCACAATGGAAACTATAAATTAAAAAGCTGTGTTTCATAGACTCAACCTCCTTGGAATTGTACATAAAACACTCGGCATATTCTGCTGTCATTACTCATTAGTTTGAGTGCTAAAGTTCCAAGCATACAACTGTAAATTACTGATTCCAAGAAAATTGCTAGGAGGGTTGTGTGCGCGCACACGAGAGAAAGAGAGTACTGGAGTACAGCTTATCTTTAAAAAAGTAAGATAGAAAGTTGTAATACCATCTTATCTGTGTTATACCGAGCAGCAAAACCAATACCAGACTTTCTTTGTTGACCAAGCCAAAAAACTTCAGTCCCTAAAGACAAATTTGGTGTAATACTCTGCAAAAATAAAAAAAATAAGAAGGATATAAAGAGATTGGTCAGAATGTAAGATGATCCAGCTAATAAATTAGGGAATGGTCAGATATCCATCCATGTATACATATAAAGATCGCCTTTTGATAAATTTGGTGATTTTGAGGACCTCAGAGCAAAGTATACCAAATATCAAGCACTCAAGCAGTAATAAAATAAAATAAAAATAAAAAACTAAAATGAGCTACAGTAATGATACACAATATCATAAGCCTGGATCACTCAATAAGGAGATTACCAATAATACATGCATTAACAGAACCAGTTGCTAACACACCAAATATAGCAGTGCCAGTAATGCACATGGATAGTAATATAGACCTAATGTACTACGCTCTCAAAGTAATGCATATGGATAGGAATATGCCAAAATCTAGAAGAAAAAACTCAGGTGTGAAGAACAGATAAAAGTACAAGCAGAGCAGAAAATCCAATTAAATAGATATAAACGACGACTATGTAGATAATATACTACAATCTAAAAGTAATGCATACAGATAATAAATTAATAATATGCCAAAATGTAAAAGAAAAAAACTGCAAGAAGTGTGAGGAGCAATATAAGTACAAGCTGAGCAGAAAATCCAATTAAACAAGTATAAGCATATGTCAGACTCAGATCTTTCACAGATTGGGAGAATTACTACAGACTGACGTTCTTAGGTGTTCTAAAATTGTAACAAAGTTTATGAACATATAGTTATAATTAAGTGTAAGATTCATAAATTGAATTGCGACTTACTTGAATATAATTGCCCCCATAAAAGGCGTTGTTACCTATCTGGAACTGAGCCCTGTAATCATGACCCTGGGTTACAAAAGAAAAGGAAAAAAAAAAGGAAAAAAGAAATTGTCACTAAAAACTCCATGTAGAAAGTATAATTATATGTAAATAACAAATAACTCTTCAAATATCTAAAACCAGAAAATAATGAAGCAGATAACTTTGAGAGGTTTAAGATGTTTCAAGGGTTACATACAGTTTATATAACTCACAGGGTGCCTATGGAATGTAAGCTTCACAAGTAATTGGTTTACAAATGAAGACATGGAAGATAAGCTGCTCCTTCTACATATATGGATAATAAATGATGTAAATAACATCATCTCACAGATCAACTGGATCAATTTGTTACAGTGTTAGAAGACATGCATTTTGCAATCATTGTTATGCATGGTTGACTGGCCTCCAGACCATAAATCCTTCATCCTTCAACACTTATAAAGACATAGATGATTACGCTGCTCATTAAGGATCCTTCATCGGATATTTCATCATGTGTATTTGAGCTCACAGTGAGGAAATTTTCTTCAACAGTCAGCTGATATCAGTCACAGATACACATATATGCAGACATGTAGATACACAAGTACAGGAGACAACTAAAAGAAATTGCACTCAAATGAATTGCTCAATTTGAAATGTAATAATTGTTTTTTTGTCCACCAAGTATATTAGGCATCACACACTAATTAAGTTTCGTGTATCAGCAACTAACAGTTAAAACTGCAGAAGCAACAGCTGATGTTTATTCCCAAGGTCCACATTAAAGGTACAAGGGAAAATGATGGGTTCACGTAGGCAATAACTCTAGAACCAAAATGTGTTCAATTATGAGGGAGATCACAATTCAAGGACAGCAATCACTATGTGAAGAAGAATGTTCTACCAGATCAATACAGAGAGTTAACTATGTATCACTTTAGAAGGAAAAAAAAGGCCAAAATAGGACTACTGCAAAGAATGAGTTAGATTGTGATACTGCAACAGACGAGTTGATAAAGTAAAAGTATGCAGTGCTGCAGCTCACTAGTACTTATTCAGTTAACATGTATGGAACCGATAGTCCATCTATTGAGAACCATAGAAAAGCTAGATTGCCCAGGTTTACATGATTACACTCAAAAGCCTTAGTTTTGTTGCAAGCAAAGTACAGGTTAATATACTGTATGTGGTCAGGTTCTTTTGCAACCTCTTAACAATATAAGTAATCACTTAAAAGTCCCAATAACAGACAACACAGTGAAGCTGACTCCAATTGATTATAACAATATAGCAAGGTTAGTAAGATCATTTTCAAATTTCATCAAATTTGCAAGTAAAAAATAAATAAACAGCATGATGAACCAGATACAACCTGGATTCGGAATAGACACCAATCCAAGGTTCAGGTCAATGAATTTGTAATTGAACAATCAATTAATATGATGGTGTTAAGAGAAGACTAACTGTATAATCAAAGTCACAAGAAAATGCACAATCAATCAATACTATCATGTTAATAGAAGACTAACCTTATAATCAAAGTTGAACATTCCTTGAGAATAATGGGGTTCATTTGTAAGCTGGCACAAAATTGCAACAAATAACACTTATAAATAATAAAATTTAAGCTATATATAGCAAATGACCACCTTAAATGAGTAGACACATTACTGGTTTAGTGAATGAAAAGTACCTGCGCATTGACCTTCATGATAAGATTATCAGTCAAATCACATTTGACTCGTGCACTCATCCTTCCATCAGTCATCATCCTCCCAATAAGCATCAGCTGCAGAAATGCATGAATAAGATTATGATCCTAATTGCTTCAGAAGGATAGTGCAAAATGTATAAGGGCCTGTTTGTTTTACTAAAAAAAGAGGGAAATCAAAGAAATGGAAAACTATTAAAATGAAGAATTGGTTTGGGAGTGTTTGGTTGGCTAAAAAAAGAAGGAAATCAAAAAAATGGAGATGAAATGATGTTAGTTGTCATATTATTATTGGATGATGTGAGTGATTTTTTAAGAAAACTAGTTTTGATGTTGTTTGGTTGGCGAAAAAAATAAGGAAATGAATTATAAGAAACCTATTTCCTGTAGTTTGTTGTTTTCTTTTGGTTTGGTTCATTCTTAAAAATGAGAAATGAAATGAGATGAGATGAGTTGTCATTGTATTATTGGGTGATGTGATCCAAGATTAAGAAAAGTGTTTTCACAACTTTTTGGGATGAAAACAAAGAAATGAAATGTTAATGAGATGAGGTGAATTGTTATAATATTTTATTGGATGATGTGAGTGATTTGAAATGATGAAAAGAGATGAGTTGAGTGATGTTTGGATGAAAATAATATTTTATTAGATGTGATGGATGAGTTGTTAGATGAAAATAATATTTTATTAGATGTGATGGATGAGTGGTTAGATGAAAATAATATTTTATTAGATGATGTGGATGAGTTGTTGGATGAAAATAATATTCTATTGGATGTTGTGGATGAGTTTTAGGGATGGAAATAGAGGAAATAGTACTTTTTGAGATTTTCACCTTTTCCATTTCCATTTCTTGGTTTTTCTTGGTTTTTCTTGGTTTTTAGGAAATAACCAAACAGTCCATAAAGCATCGAGGGTCACTGTGACAACCAAACGTTGATATAGATAGAAGCTAACCTTTGGATCAAGAAAATTGGCTCCAAATTCATAATGTGAAGTAGGAACTTTGACAGTCTCCGAAGATTGTGAAGGAAGTTCCGTCGAGCCCATAAAGACACTGATTAGGATTTAACGTAAGCAATTTTAAACCTTTAGCAGAAATTATAGCTATCTTACACACTGAAACCTAAACAACCTGTGACTCAGAGAAAACTTCTGGCTCAAACCCTTTGTAAAGTCAAAACGTAATCCTTCGAAAAGGTCAGGCTTCAAAGACACTGCAAGAAAACATAATATAAAGAAATTTACCAATAGCAATAGAAAAATGGGCATCTAACTCTTTGATCATTGTAACAACTTACTCTATGAACTTGGTATAAATATAATTACAACCACACAGAACCGAAAACAGATTTGAAACAGGGCAAACTAATCAAACAAACATACAATGTGAACAGCAAAACACTCTCTTACAATAAAGAGAGCTACGTATCAACTAGTGTCTACACTAACAAAAACTAAGCCGAATCCTGAAGAAAACCCCCAATATGCAAGCATCAATGAAACTTTAAGACACACATAAAGCCAGTTCCTAACAATAATTGCATATGCTTAATCCTGAGATTTTGTCATTTAGAAATTTTATTAGCTAACTAACCAATAGCCTAATATATTTCTGGAGATGAGTAAAAACGCTACACCATATTTATCTAGTGAATCAGCAGAATGCCAATAAGCAGTAATCATTCAGCTGTGTTACAACTGTTCGAAAGATGGAAGAAAACACAACGCTTTCATAGTACACCGTCAAACCTTATTACTCCCTTTTTTTAAGAGTCAGGGCTGACACCAAAAAGAACTATCATTGCAATTTCATAATATTAAAGTCAAGAAAACGGATATTTCAAAGAATAAAGAGGATAACAAATCAATCTCACTCACTACCATGCACTATTAAAAACAAAACCTCCGCCTAGCCCGTCATCTGCCTAGGCGTATGCCTTAGGCCGAGGCGGCACCTAGGCTGCCCGCCTAGGTATTTGGAGCACCTAGGGGAGCATGGTCTGCTAACGTGGACTGCACCCTTTAGACCTTAATCATGATTTTCTTTATTGCAGACTCCACGTCCTCTAACCTCCTCCAAACACCTGTCTCAAACTATGAGCACCTCTACTTCCTCTGACCTCCAGCAAAACCTCCTCCACCACCATTTAAACGAAGAAAGAAATATGCCTAAGCGTCAGTCTGGCACAAATATTTCTATAACATTGGCATTTACTATCAATTATTATAATTAAAAAACAAAAAATAGTAAAATATGCCTAGGCTCCAAGTGTCGGGTCAACGCCTAGGCCACCAACTGCTTTCTGTAACCTTGCTACCACGCCATTAATTAACGACCATTTTGGGCCGAAAGGGTAAGAATGCTCGATCGGCTGATTTGATTGCCAATTTTCACTTTTAAATATGAGGGCCTATCCATCACTGTGATCAATCATTCCATTTATCGCCAACTACACTCTATAGAGCTGGTTTCATGATTAATAACCTAAAAACCAAATTTCAACCTGAATTTCTTTTTCAGTAAATAGGCCACAAGGGGGAGAAATTAGCACAACTAGGGTTTCTAAACTAAACATTAATCGGGACAAGGGTTTCAACAAAGCAACAAAAGACAAAAACAAACAAAATCAATCGAGGATCGAGAATCTCACTCAACGCTTCTCTCTGGATCTCCTCGAACGGGACTGGACACGGGAGGTTGAAGTAGTCGACTTTCTCCGGCGCCTTCTCCTTCTCCTCCTTCGGCGGCGGAAGCAACGTCGCCAGGCCCGCCGGCGACGGAAGTGGAGGAGAAGGAGAGTCGGCGTGGCTCACGAACGAACCCATTGATCGATCGATCGATCTCGAGAGTGAGATTGATCGAGCGCTAGGGTTTTAAAAAAGAGCGGAGTTTTGGAATTTAGGGCTCTTTTTTGGCGGCTTAGAGAGAGAGAGAGAAAAGGGGTTTAGGGAGGGTTTTCTGTGGTTCGGTGTGAGTCGTCGAGTAGGGGTTCGTACACTGGAGATTATATGGTGTGGTGTAGTTTCATTCCGCGTCTAGGTGTAGGTCACGTGTTTCCTAATTTCTCATGGAATCAAAAAAAATTCTTAAAAATTCATAATAATAATAATGAGAATTATATCGTCTATTTTAAACTTTATAGAATAGCACAATCGTTTTGCTCGTGCTCACACGAATGGGTGCTACATATAGAATAAGTAATATGGAGCAGGTAGCGGGAACTGAAACTGCATCATTAGTTTTGAATAATAAGAGCGTATGTTTCTTATAGTATTTGGATTATTGAAAATCAGATAATCTAAATTAGATTTTTTTTTTAATAGTTTGAATTTCAAAAGAAATTTAAAACGAGGGGTAGATAACTTTTATTTCAAAATTTAAAATTCATAATTTGATGGTTCAACCGCCGTCCTCCCATTTATAACATTCATATTTATTGTTATAATATTCTAAGATTAAAAGAGAAAAAGAAAAGGTTAGCATGTCGAATGAGCGTGTGGTTATTTTTTATTTTAAAATTGTGATTTAAAATTAGATAATTTAACCATCAATTTATACTTTGTAACCTCTCTCGTTGCTTATAATAATTATAAAATAAAGAAGGACATAAAAAAGTCGACGCAATGATCACAGTATAGAAAATATCTCTTTGATGTAGGAAGTGCGAATATTTGGCTAGCTGACAATGTGACCTTACGTTGACGTTTCATTATAAAAGTGATACAAACTATGATGTGAATTAAATAGTACATTGAGTTAAACCCCCTAAATAAATTTGGGGTAAAACAACAGGTAAGGATAGAAGAATCCACTATGAGGAAAAAAAATTTAGAATTACAATCTCTCTTTACAATGAGAAGCTCTCTAACGGCTGAGAAAACACTATTCCTAATTTTATAATTTTTTATTGTGTCAATCTTTCGGTTCTTTCCACTTTAGGTGTATAATTAGAGTGGTGAGGCTCATTCACTTCTCTCTTTCAACAATTTCGGATGATAATCTCCTACTTGAAGATTTGATTGAGTATCAATCATATCTTCACACCATTCTTTCTATCTTGTCATCTTCATGTTGCTCATATCTCCGACATGCCATAAGAGGATCGACACCAAATAAATTTATCAGTATTGACTGCTTTTGTCAAAAAGTCTACTAGGTTGTCTTTGGTATGTATTTTCTGCATATCCACTGTTCTTTCTTCAACTTTCTCACGAACGAAGTGGTACTGAACTCGAATGTATTTTGTCTTTGAATGAAAAGTTAGATTTCTTGCTAAATGCAAAGCATTTTGACTGTCACAAAATAGAGAATTCTTCTTTTGTTCATGCCCGAGTTCCTCTAACACCATCTTCAACCATATCGCCTCTTTATTAGCTTGTGTAGCTGCTACATATTCTATTTCTGTTGATGAAGAAGCCACAACTGACTGCAATTTTGAAATCTAGCTTACAACTCCGTCAGCAAGTGCAAACACATAGTCTGTGGTGGATTTACTATTATCACGATTAGTTGCATAATTAAAATCAACATATCCATTGACAATAAAATTTGATCCCTCATAACATAATGCAATATTTAAGGTTCCCTTAATGTATCTTAGAACCCTCTTTACAACATTCCAATGCTCTTTAACAAGATTCGTCATGTATCGACTGACCACTCTCACTGCTTGTGCAATGTTTGATCTTGTACAAATCATAACGAACATTAAACTTCCCACTGCTGATGCATACGGTACTTGAGACATCTTCATCCTCTCTTCTTCACTGCTAGGACTCATAATGGAGGATAACTTAAATTTAACAGGAAGTAGGGTGAAAATTGACTTAGAATCTTGCATATTAAAGCGCCACAAGATTTTCTTCAAATAATTCATCTGAGAAAGTCAAATCTTCCTATTAATTCTGTCTTGGTAAATTTGCATCCCTAGAATCTTATTTGCAGATCCTAAAATTTTCATTTTAAATTCCCTAGCCAATTGTGCCTTTAATTCTTTGATACGATCTTTATTAGGGCATGCAACCAACATGTCGTCAACATACAACAACAAGATGACAAATTTATTTTCACAAAACCTCTTGAAATATGCACAAGGGTCTGAATTAAGTCTGTTGTATCCAAGGCTCATGATGAATGAATCAAATCTCTTATACCAACACCTCGGCGTCTGTTTTAGACTGTGCAGAGATTTGTTCAATCTGCAAACTAAGTTATTTTTCCTTTTTCTTCAAAACGTTCTGGTTAGAGTATGTAAATTTTTTTCTTCAAGATCTCAATGAAGAAATGTTGTTTTCACATCTAGTTACTCTAGATGCAAGTCAAATATAGCGCTCATAGCCATGACTATTCGGACAGTTATAAGTCGAACTACAGGAGAAAATATTTTATTAAAGTCAATACATTCTTTTTATATTGAAATTCTAATGTGACCTAACGTTGACGTTTCATTATAAAAGTGATATAAACTATGATGTGAATTAAATAGTACATTGAGTTAAACCCCTGCAACATGAAACAATCAAACAAAATATCGCTTGTGGATGAGATATAAAGCATTAACATATTGATTTAATCTAAAACAATCTCCTGCTTAATACTCAATCTCATGATGGTTGCATTAGAATTTTAACTTTTTTAGAAAAGTATATGTGATTTTAACATATCCATAAAATATCTTAAGAATCCAAATATTTGTTTTAATAATATTTTTAAGAACCCATTAGAATTTCAATATAATTATTTAAAAAAATATAAAGCAGAGAAAATTTGAGATAATTTTTTGGGTAATTTGTGTAGATAATTTATTAAAATTGCAGAATGTAGAGAATTTTTTGAAAAAAAATTAATTTTATAAATATTAATATGTTATATGTTTTTTGTTGTGCCTGATGTTAATATTTTAAAAAGAGACATCAGTGAATCAATAATGACTCTTTATAAAAGTCAGTAAAGATATGATATCAAATCAAGAAATAACAAAAAATGGATAAATTCATCAATAATATGTTACGAGGAAGGCTAATTCATAAAGTACAATTTGATGCATGTATAATTTTGCATATATGCTTTTAGAGTTAATTTTTAATAACCACTCCACCCCCTCCACTCCCACCCCCTTCTCCCCAACAAAAAAACGGTGGATGTCTTAGAAAACCCCTCTCAACTATTTTTATTTGAGAAAATTTCTTTAAATTTTAGGCATACTATAGATAACCCTACATAACTTTGAAAACTAGACAAAGCACCCTAACTATTGGGTGTCTCACAAAGCCTACCTAATCTTTCACACGTTTCCCACCAAAAACCTCCAACATCATTTTAAAATAAAAAAAACTGAAATGTCTTTTTAAAAATCAACACATTCAGTAACAAAGACACCCTCAAACAAATAAAAAAAAGAACTAATTCAATTTACAATGTTTGTTTCCCCCTCTTTCTCCCCTCTTTCTTTTAACCTAAAAAATTACTTATGATTGTGGGCATTTTGGTCTTTTCTCAACCACCTACTTGTCATGTGATATGCTAAGTCTAACAATGTTAGCTTCGAGGACGTAGAGAAAGAAGAGTTCATCAAGTTCAAACTAGAGGGGTTATCTACAATAGGCTCAAACTCGAGAGAGTTTATCAAATTTAAATAGTTGAGGGGGATTTTCGGAGATACACCTCATATTTTAGGGAGGTTAAGTGAGTAAAGTTTAAGGAGTTATATCAAATTTTCATAGCTGAGAGGGTAATCTATAATATGGTCAAACTTGAGGTGGGTTTTCTCAAATTAAAACAGTTAAGGGTTTTTTTATCAAATTAACCCATAATTTTATGTAGAGAGGGTTTTTTCTTACATATATTTTTTTTCTATTTATATATTTAATTATATAACTATGAGGTTTTTTTTAATTATGGATAGTTATAATCTAATAATAATTACAAAAATTTTTGATTATTAGAATTTTCTAATTATGGATAGTTCTAATTTGATGAGAATTCTTAGTTGAGTGTAAGATTAAGTGTCAACATGTCATCTTCTAATGGGATAAGTGGTCACGTGGATACTATGATATGACACATGTTATTTTTTTTATCTTTTTTAAGTATGATACATGTCAGTTTTCTATCCTTTTAAAAGCTCTACCAAATTTATATTTATATTATACAAGTGTTAACTCCGTGCGAGCACAGATTTTTTTTGAATATTTTTGTTTTGGCTCTATAAATGTTTATTTTAGAGCATCTCCAATAGCCTCCCAAGGAGGCTTCTAAGGATGATGTAGCTAGGAAAAAGCTCCTAATGTGCTCCAACAAACTCTCAAGAACTCTTTTAAGTCCTGGTTGACGATGGGGTCCACCATGGAGCTCCTAAGAGCTCCACAAATTTGTGGAGCACTTGGGAGCTCCTAAGGGTTGAGGGTCCACTAACAATTATTTTTTTATTAGATTTATTGTTTTTAAATATATTTATAAAATGTTATTTTCAGGAGAATGAGTTTTTTAAATAATATTTGAGCTCCTATCTGGGAGTTTGTTGGAATATTTCTCCTAGTAGGGAGCTCCTAAGTGGGCACCATGCTTGAGAGCACTCCAACAAGAACTCCCTACTAGGAGATTGTCGGGGATGCTCTTACAGGCCCTTTGAATACGTCGAGCTACCTAAGTATAAGGTGAGTGATGATTGATTATATTTCTTCGTAGACAACCCTTTGAATACTTTTGCTATTTCCTCCCCTGAGAAGCCAGTTTTTGCTGGAGGCGTGCTATATTTAGAAAGACTCTTATCATGAGATTTGCATTCCCAATTGCACGTCGGCCTCTTTCACTCGGTAATGCGGTTCATGCAGAAAAATAATAGGAGGGTTATGTGCAATTCCAAACTTAGCACAGAGCACAAAGAAAAATTAAACTAACTATATACATTTTCCCATGACTATGAGTCAAGAAATACTACTATATACAT